TGGATATATGACACTGCCCACGGGCGTTCTACAATAGGCCCCTCGGGACCCGACGCTAGGCTGGGCGTGTAGATCTGCAAATAGTCTTTCCCCCCCTTCCCCCCCTCCCTCTCTCTCTCTCTCCATGTTTGTGTGAATTTAGTGCTTGTGAAAGTTTCCAGATTGACAGCTCTGGAGACTGAAGCCTTTTTTGTTTTTAAGCCACAGAACAGGTATGTGTACAGCCATGTTCAGAGCCTGCCAAAATAATTGAACACAAATGTTCCAAAGCTCAAGGCCCAGGCTGCCACCGAAGCAACAGCAACAGCACACACGGCACCAGGAACCCCAAGAGCAGACAGCCTCTCCAAGAGTGGGGAAAGTGAGATCCAAGCCAAGATCCCCCAACAACCCTCCACTGGACCCAGCACATCACCCCAGTAGTCCATCCCTACTTCCAGAGGGCACCACATGGGAAAGGAGTTCCCCCAACCTGTCTGTGGGATGAGACAGAGTGGGCTGGGCTGGGCTGGACAATCTCACCCCTGCACCCAGTGCATGGCTCCATTGGCCCCCTTCTCGCCTCCCCCTGGAGAGATAACAGCCTTTGTGTGCAACCAACTAATGTTGCTAGTCCTGTCGCTCAAGCTGTGCTGCAGGGCTGAAGGTTGGGGATTAAATCCCACCAGTGATTTATGATGGGGGTGGGAGGGTTACTACATTTGTACATCAGATTTTTTTCTTTTCTCCTTGTAAAAAAAATCTAGGAACTTACATGTTTTTAAAATCATTTGGGTTGCAAAGTCAAGCACTGCACAGTTAGGAAACGCCAAAGTTAAGGTTGTAGGCAGTGTAGTTGTAGTCGTGCTGGTCACAGGATATTAGAGAGATAAGGTGGGTGAGGTAATGTCTGTTATTGGACTGCGAGAGAGACAAGGTTGTCCAGCAATTCACTGGGGACTGGGATAGGAGTCAGACCAGGATTTAAGCACCCTAATCAGCCTCTTGTAAGAAAACATGGCATATGGAGGCAAGGAATTGGTTCTTTTTGAATCAGCAACAGGTAAATATGGAGAGTCCTTAGAGTCCTCATTTCTACCCCAAAACCCCCACTCTTGCATACATGAACCCCCTTCATGAGATCCCAGTGCTGAACCTCTCCACCACAATTTTCCGGTCCTGCAGAGCCCAGAAAATATTTAACCGTCATCCTAAAAGAACATTTGAAAAGCAAGACAAAGGGCTGAAAGCCTGAGTGGCTCCTTAAAATATCGGAGCTGCTAATTCACCTCACTAGCAAGCAGCAGTCACATCTGTTGGAAGCAGGGGCATCACTGCAGTCTATGGTGTGGAAAATTATTAGGGCTTTTTCCTCCCTCCCCCAAAAACGCCTTTTCCCAGGATTTACCTTTTACTGCCCCAGGTGAATGATGTTCACTTATGGAGCCTGCACTAATGGCAGGCAGGGAGACAGCCCCCTCAGGCCCTTCATTCATTTGGAATAATCCACTAGCAAACAATGCTCACCCACAGCAGTCACAGGAAAATCCAGTCCCCCGAAATGGACCCTAGTGATAAAATCCCAGAGAAAAATGGTCTGAGATTCTGGAGAGACCTCAGGGAATAAAAATGTCCCTTGTCTTGTGACAAATCTTCAAAGGTGACCGCATCATTAAATGCCCCCTTCCTGTGAGTTGCTTGTATAATAGCATTCTGGACGACAGCTGCGCCAGCTCATATCAAAATGGACCCCTCTTAATTTTCCCTCCAGATCCTTGAGTGGCAAGAACAGCCAGCCAGCCAGCCAAGCAATGTTATTTACACCTAGCTGTAACATTAAAATTAGAGAATCAGAACATTACATTTGAATATCTGAAACTGTGGGGCGGCTTAGATCCAGATCCTGATCTAGTTACTGGGGCAGCTCTCTGTAATGAACTGAAGTGGCGCCCCCAGATCCAAGTATCCCCAAACCAGGGGGACATTCAGCTCAGTGTCCAGGGGTGGGTCTGACTTTTCTCTCTCTAATTAAAATAAGCTGCAGTGACAGTGACAAGCCGGCTAGGAAATGTAAGCATTGTGGCAGAGTGCTGCGTAACATACATGTGTGCACGTGTCTCCTTCTACCTGCGCATACATATTCCACCTCTTGAGGCAGGATCAGGAAGAAGTTTCACATTCCGCTCTCTCAAGCCCTCCTTCATCTGCACCCCTTGCTCCCAGGCCGATCCATCCAAAGGACTGAGACTGAAAAAGGCTGCAAATCTCTCTCCACCCTCCTCTCTCCTCCCTGCAGCATGATCCCCTCAGACAGGTTCACAAATCTCTGGGCTCAGCCTCTGGGGACTCTTGAGAGAACGCTGGCTCTATTTTTGGCTCCTCTTGTGACATAACTTCCTGGAGTTCACGCCCTGTGACAGGGTTTTCCTGCAGTACTTTGTGGGTAGAAGACACACAAATAAAAACAAACCTAAGAGAAAGTGCCCTACCACAAGGCTCGTTTACTGGAGCCTGAACTTCATATGGACCGGTCCTTAAACAACACCTCCATCAGCTTCCAGTTTGCATTTTATACAGTCCCTTCAAAGGCAGCTCAGTCCAGAAACATTCCCTGAAACCTCCACAGGCAAGACCTGTGGCACCCCCAGTTTCAGACTCATCCCTTATTGTCCTGGATGGAAAGACAGTATTTTGTGGTGCTTATCCAGTACATATTGGTCCTAGCACCAAGTACTTAGGAGCAGCGCTGGACTCAGATTTGAGCTGCTCATGCTGTAGACAAAGATTTCTGTGCCGTTCCTGGCTGACAGGCATTACTTCCAGTCCCCCACACCTGAACTGAATTAAAACCGGTACCATACGTCCCTGAGGCAGAATCTGCAGTTCTGTCTTGTCAGTAAAACGGCTGCCCTGTGGCTTCACATTGCTAGGTTGTCTCAGCAGTACCTTGTCACAGGCAGTTCTGTCACTGCCTGTGAACCCCCTCCCTGTGGCAGCAAGTGCTCTGTGAACAGAAGATGGCAGTGGGCAAAAGCCCACTGCAAGATTTCAAATAGCTGGGCACAAATATATGAGAGAGACACCTCTACTTACTGTTCTCTGCCTGGAACAGAGCCTCTTCTGCGTTCTCCAGCTCCTTCGATAAACCCCCTGACAAGTCCCAAAGCAAATCCAGTGGAAGCTATCAACAGCCAGGCGAGCGCTCAATGGACTCTAGTGGGCATCAGCCCCCTGCTCCCTGCAG